CTGTGACACTTGATTGGTGGCTTTTCAATCCCAGGGGGTCCTTTCTGTGCAAGGACATACCTACAAGCCAAGTGGTGGTGGAGGAACAACATATATTTGAGTCAGGGCCTGGTCTGGTGTTTCCCGATTTCTCAAAGACTGACGACTGATGCAAGCAGATGGGGCTGGGGGACCCATCTAGAAGGCTGGCCAGCCCAGGAGAAGTGGACACAGGAAGAAGCCCAAGCGTCCTCAAATTGGAGGGAGAATTTGGCGGTAGCCAGAACAATATCTTATTTTCAGGACCAGCTCAGGGAACATAATATAATAGTCCTGTCTGGCAATGCAACCACAGTAGCGTAGGTGAACAAGCAAGGGGGCACCACGTGCCCATACTTAATCATGATTTTGAATCAAATCTTCTTGTGGGCAGAAAAGAACTTATTTTCTCTGTCTGCGGTTCACCTAAAAAGGGATCACAATTAAGTGGCGGATTTCCTCATCAGGAATTTTCTCAAGAGGAGTGGGAATTACACCCAGACGTGTTTGCAGGCAATGCTGCACACTGGAGAACTCCAGATATACTGTAGACCCATTTGCCTCCAGGGAGAATGCAAAAGTGGATTTTTTTTATTCACTAAATCTCTGAGATCTAGCACTGGGGATTGATCCTCTTCAAAATTGCTGGAATTTTGTGAAATTTTATGCTTTTCTCCTTGATTTCACCATTTTGGTCCAAGAGGACTTGATTTTTGCAGCTTCTTGGTCTTGGCCTCTTCCTCCCAGAGAGGACATGATCTGTCAAGGGCCATTGCATCATTCCAATTTAGGAAGATTCAATTAGATGGCCTGGCTTCTGAAGATGACATTTTGAAAAAAAAAGGTCTCTCATATAAAGTCATAGCGACACTAGTAAGGATACCAGATACCAGAGCCATCTATAAGAAGATGTGGAAAAAGTTTAACTCTTTGTGCATAGAGAAAGCTAGTCCAGGTATCACTTTGTGCATAGATGAAGCTAGTCCAAATATGGACACGCCAACTATTCTAGAGGTCTTACAGCAGGGTTTTGGAGAAAGGACTAGCACTGAGTACTTTGAGGATACAGACAGTAGACCTGTCTGTATGTCTTGATTGGTCTTTACAAGAAAATCCTCTAATCCCCAGGTTCTGTTGGGTTGTGAGTAAAAAGAAACCATCTAAATCTTGGAAATATCCTAGCTGGGACTTGTTGGTAGTGTTAAGAATTGTCATCAAGCCCCCTTTTGAGCCTCTACATGAGACCTGTTAACATTGCAGATGGTCTTCTTGGTGGCCATCTCTATGGCCTGAAGAATAGGGGACATTCAGGCTCTTTCTGTCAGAGAGCCTTTTTTAAGGATTTTTGAGGACAGAGTAATCCTGCAGACAGACCCAGGTTTCATATTGAAGGTGGCATCAGACTTTCATAAGTCTCAAGAAATAGTGCTGCCGTCATTCTGCAGTTCGCCTTCCAACAGTAAAGAACAAGAACTGAGTCTCCTGGACATCAGAAGGTGTCTACTAAGATATCTGGAGGTTACACAGAAATTCAGATCTTCAGATGCCCTATTTGTCCTGTACATGGGCAAGCAAAAGGGGAAACAAACATCTAAAAGCATCTTAGGCAGGTGGATTAAGGCCATCGTGGAGGACTATAGAGTGATCCAGATCTCTCCACTGCAAATTCTAAGAGCACATTCTATTAGGGCAGCCATTTTCAATAAGGGTGCCTTCAGGTTTCCTCAGAGATGTCTTGGCAAAATGCCTAAAAATTGCCCCAAATTGTATATAAGCCAGTGGCCTAGAGCAGGAGTCTCCAAACTATGGTCCTCCAGATGTTGAGGAACTGCAAGTCACCGGAAGCCTTGCAAGACTCTGACAGCCACAGGCAAGACTCCCAGAGGCATGATGTGACTTGTAGTACTTCAACAGCTGGAGGGCCATAGTTTGGAGACCACTGGCCTAGAGGATGGATCAAGAATGGGTGGAAAGGGCAGGTGCTACTCCGGAACAGATATGCAAGGCAGTAACCTAGTCAAGGTTCTCCACCTTTGTCCAACATTATCGGTTGGACCTGATTACCAGCCAGGAAAAGGCTTTTAGTTCCTCCAAGCAGTTGCTTCCCCCCCCCCCCCCCTGGTAAGTACTTGGTTATCCTCTCAAGGGATGGCCTGAAAAACTGCTGAGGAAAAACCGGAGTTAGACTTACTGGTAGCTCTGTTTCCAGTAGTCTGCCAGGATAGCAGGTTCCCACCCTGGAGTGATAAATGGTTGTTGGGTGTTGTTGTGTGGTATGTTTTACAAATCTGTCCTTCGGTTCTCATGGATAACTGACCATGGGCCTGGAGGGACCACCTTAAAGATCTGTGGGCAACGTGATTCCTGTCTGCAGGGAGGATCTCCATCTGTCAAGGGCTGTCCTGGAAGACTACTGGAAACAGAATTACCGGTAAGTCTAACTCCGATTTTTTTTGTAGTGTCACTCTTAGTTAATCAGAAATGCCTACACTCATGCATACATGTCCACTAGCAAAAACATAATTAATAAATAAACAATTTGCTGCTTTTTTTAGGTCAAGGAGTACTGTTTTATTGTTGGAACACAAATTAGAAATTGAGGCTTATCTTATGTACATCCACAGTATGTTGCAGTGAATTTGAATTAAAAGATAAAAGTGCTAAAAAGCTTTCTTTTATACTTGTATTGTGCTTCAGGTACTCTGTATATAGCTTCCTAACAGCATAGACCCCAACAGTGCATCTTTTAAGACCAAATCCTTATGTCCTTTGTGCTGCCTCAGTTGTCCCTCTTTTTGGTTTGATGTGTACATCTCTATATAAAATGTACTATTATGCTAATAAAAGTGTTGTGCTGCACTAAACTTTTCATCCAACATCTAGATTACTGCATTTGTTATTTTAAAAAAACAATATAAAGTTACAATAGAGGTAAAAAAAAGAACTAATGTGGTTTATCCAAAAATTTTCTGCATGTTATATTTTTGTAGTCTGACTAAAGCGGCAGTAAACTTTTGGTAAAAAAAAAACATTTCCTCCTGCAAGGCAATATCATAATGTACTAGCATACTAGCACATTTTGAAAGCCTTACCTTGAAACGAAGCATTCCAGTGGTATGCTGTCACCGCTGCAGAGGTTACCATCTTCACCTGGTCTTCCCTTTGGATTTGTGGCTGCGGTCGCTTGAATGGCTGAGCCGCAATGACGTCAATCCTGTGCATGCACACCATGATACACAGCTCTAAAGGAACGGCACGGGTATGCTGTTCTTTCAAAGTGCATGTGCCACTGATGTCACAGGCAGCTGCTAGCTAGAAAATCTCCTAAATGGTTAATGTTTAGGAGATTTTTTTTTACCTTCAGATAAGCTTTATTATAAGCTTATCTGTAGGTAAAAATCAAAATGCGGGTTTGCTACCACTTTAACTAGGACCATGGCAAGGATGTGTCTTGCCTACATACTGTGTGATAAAAGGTGTTCTTTATCATTTCAGAAAGTTTGGAGGTATGTAATAGTAATGAATAAATATGACAGTGAACAGAGAGCACTATTGATTGTTCATCAGGTGCATGTTAGTGTCCATGTTGATGCCACACAGTATGGCATAAGTATGCATGGCTCCTGTTGGTAAGAACTCCATTTGAGTTTCACTCCTGTAGCTTCACAGTTAGTGTGGTATTGGACTATAGAGGGCTCACTAAATAACCAAAATATAGTGACTATCATCAGATCAAGAGAAAAAAGTATTGTGCCTAATATAATCTTTAGTCCCCTATTCAGTGCTGCATACATATTTTGATCTGATGAAAAGATGAAACCTTTTTTAAGGTTGAAGATGAAAAGTTTTTAAAGTTATATAGTGTATATATGTATGTATGTATGCCTTTAAACACACACACACAAACTAACAAATAATTTAATCTTCCTGCACCATCGAAAATATTCAGAGACCCTGATTAAAAAATATAATTTGTTTTGTTTTGTTGCTGAGTGAGTTTAAAAGTAACATATTAGACCAAGTAAAATGTTACAGACACAGATATAAATTTATTGAGGTGTTTCTGAACATAAAGCCACTTGAGATTGGCAGGGCAGCTTCAGGTGCCTGTGGACAAAATCTGGAAAATAACTTTGCAAGTAGAACAGCAAAGTGACATGATTTGAAGTAGATTTTCACTCAATCCTGAAAAAAAAAGAGATCAGCTATATAATTTGTTGATGTTATTGTCTTTCATGAAAAATAAATGATTACATTCTAGCTCTCTCCCCTTTATTGTGCTCCTTCATCTAGATATAAATTATAGCAGTGCCTTAAAGGAACCCTGCCAATTAGCAGAGTCAGTTCCTGAACTGACTCCAGGAACCCTGGCCAGAAAGCACAATATGTTCCTGGACTTGCATGAAACTTTTCTTCTAAATACACTGCAGTATAGAAAGATAGCCTGCTCAAGTAACTACCCCAACATGCTCATAGGGTGATGAAGGATCAACAACCTACTGATGAGATAAACACTATGCTCTCTCCTCCTCTCTGTGTTGGATATACTGACTGTGCACAGCATACATTTTTATTTAATATATTAACACTAATATTTATGCATTTACAATGAATAACTTCAGATATTAAATGTTTCTTTCATTACTTTACACTCACTATTTTATTCCCTTTTTGGTAATCCTAATACAATGCATCCTACAATATACTGAGTATATGCGTGCACATTGTGGAAACATACTGTACATTACTTATACTTGGACCTTAAGAGAAATGTGGATATGCATCTCTGAATTTAAGTTGTAGAAAACACATGTAAATGTGCCGAGACATGTAAAATAGAGAATTGCATCCAACAATTAAAATACCATAGCATAGAGAATATGTTGGGCCTCCTTTGAATATATCTATATATGTTTTAAATGTTCCTTTTTAATATACTGCTACATGCAGATAACATTATAAACAGTTGCAATTAATACCTCTTATTGTGATGTTGGGGATTTTGCTGCATCAAACATTTTCTTTCTGCCCTCCATGCCTGACATGGCCTCTACATTCTTACGCCAGTCACTGACTTCTACAGGACGCTCCTAAGAGATGAGAACATGAGTTTTATACATTCATTTCACACAGCTACTATCTTCCATGAAGAATTAATAGGGAAACATGTAATATAGTATAAAGAATTATATAAAACCTGGCACCATATTTTACACCAAGAAATTGCTACTGTCAGGAAGTAGGCACAAAAAAAGTACATTTAAAGTCAACTTGATGTCAGAAAAAAATGTTGATTGTGCTTCTTATAGTAAGTCGATTCTCAAATTAACTAGTATGATAGTAAAATGTACCTCTCGTTGAATACTTGATTTTTTTTATTAGCCGTTTGTAGTATTGCCCCATCAAAGCACAAATATCATGATAAATGTCAGCTTTACAAGAAAGACTTTGCTCATTGACAGTTTTATCTTCCTCCAGAAAGTAAAATCACATATAACAATAAAGTTGCCAGTGATATATAAGTAACTGGAGAATGGAAAAGCATATCAGAACAAAACTTAAAGTGGGATATGATTAGAGATCAATAATTTGTAGATTGTTGCTGGAAATAAATTGCTACCCAGGAACAAATTAAAAATGCAAGACGATGTATGATTACCTGAAATAACAGGGATTTTCTTTCAAATTCTTTACTAAAAAAGTGAAAAGTCTTGATTGTTTTGGTATTCACCCTTTTCCATGAGTGTACATAGAAAGTTCCATGTAAATACATTTATTCGTTGAAGGCTTCGTTGTTCAGAACACATGTAAAAAGCACCAAAACAAGTCCTGGATCTGGTTTTGGCAGAGCACCAACCCCGTTTGAGTTATTAAAAAATATACCAAACTTTGGAAATCCTCCGGGCAGGGGCGGACTGACAACTCATGGGGCCCTCAGGCAATAGGGGATCATGGGGCCCCTGTGTCCTTGCCCAAACTCAAAAAATCCTATGAAAAAGGTCTCATGGGGCCCCCTACTGAACCCGGGCCCCCGGGCAGTGCCCGAGTTTCCAAATGGTCAGTCCGCCCCTGCCTCTGGGTCACCCTTATTTTATATTATATCCATTATTAAACATACAAATAATTTACCTACTTAACATAACCAAGGTTTGGACCCCCCATCCTCTGGAAACAGCTGTTAAAATCTCTCCCTCAAGATCTAGTTCTGGCCAGCTCAGTAAATTGTTTTTAAAAATGTCTGGACTCTTTCCTAAATGCACAAAATATAACTGGATACCAACATTTATACAGTGAAGGAAATAAGTATTTGATCCCCTGCTGATTTTAAATGTTTGCCCACTCACAAAGAAATGATCAGTCTAAAAATCGAATGGTAAGTGTATTGTAACACTGAGAGAATAGCAACAAAAAATTCTAAAGAAATGCATGTCTAACAAATTATGCACTGATTTGCATGTTCATGAGGGAAATAAGTATTTGATCCCCTTCACAAAACATGACTTAGTACTGGTGGCAAATCCCTTGTTTGCAATCACAGAGGTCAGATGTTTCCTGTAGTTGGCTACCAGGTTTGCACACATCTCAGGAGGGATTTGGGCCCAATCCTCTTGGCAGATCCTCTCCACGTCATTAAAGTTTGGTAGCTGATGTTTGGCAACTCGAACTTTCAGCTCCCTCCACAGATTTTCAATCGGATTAAGGTCTGGGGACTGGCTAGGCCACTCCAAGACCTTAATGTGCTTCTTCCTGAGCCACTCCTTTGTTGCCTTGGCCGTGTGTTTTGGGTCATTGTCATGCTGGAACACCCATCCACGACCCATTTTAAATGCCCTGGCTGAGGGTAAGATTTGACTGTACATTGCCCGGTCCATCGTCCCTTTGCTGCGGTGCAGTTGTCCTGTCCCCTTAGCAGAAAAACACCCCCAAAGCAGAATGTTTCCGCCACCATGTTTGACAATTGGGATGATGTTCTTCAGGATATATACGCAACATTCCTCCTCCTCCAAACATGGCGAGTTGAGTTGATGCCAAAGAGCTTGATTTTGGTCTCATCTGATCAGAACACTTTCAACCAGTCCTCCTCTGCATCATTCAGATGTTCAGGGGCAAACTTCAGACAGGCCTGGACTTGTGTTTTCTTGAAAAAAAATAATGTCATGATAGGGATCCGACATCCCTAAAGTTCTGTGGAATAGATAAAATTGATGCCCCATGGAGAGTGGGTGATATGGTCAAAAATATTTCACAAAATGAAACCAAATCGATATACCAAATGGGGACGTTGATCCCTAAAGGGTTAAATGCAGATATTGACAGATATTTTTTTATCTAATTGGTAGCTTAACCGTGTGCAAATTAATATTTTTATATTTTCATTTCTCTTTCTTTAATTTTATTTTAAAAATTTTTTTATATATATATATATATATTTTTTTTTTTTTTTTGTCTTTTTTGTTTTTGTTGTTTTTTATTTTGATTTTTATTTATATATAAAACATTTTTATTTATTTTATTATTTTTTTATTTTATGTTTTATTTTTATTTCATTTTTTATTTGTATTTTTATTTATTTTTTTATTCTTATTTTTTCATTTTTGATTTTTTTTTTGGTATATATATTTTTTTTTATTAATTATTGAATAAAATGGTTCAGAAGATTTTTTTCCTGATTTTTAATTGTGCTAATATGTTTAAGGTTTTCACTGGCTTAAATTTCTAGGACTAAATGATATTGGTATATAAGTTTACCACAAAAACAACTATGGCATATCTAAAGTGATTGAGAAAAGGGTCTGTGCCATATGTCTGTTGCAGTATATGTGAAGGAATCCCACGGTATGGGAGCATAGGATGACAGCGTGGCATAATATTCATTGGGACCAATTGACCTATGGGAGGAGAGGGGATGGTCTTTGTGCTGCTATATTAGAGGCTGGAGACTGGAGGTTTATGTCTTTGAAAACGCATGTGGGAGGGGCAAAAAGTGTTGACGCACTTCCGGTCTGCCAGCTAAAGTCCTGCGAAACTTCCGGTGAGTAGAACGCACGCTATAGCGGTGCGTTCCAAGCGGCCATCTTTGATGCTTGACTGAGATACACTCTGTCATCCTCTGCAAGAGAGTCTGTGAGGTTTCTAATGCTGTCCTTGGATGATATGGGAACTATGAGAGCAGGATGGAGGCAATAAAGGAGAACCTTAAGCCCTATATGGTGGAATGGAGTCTTGGAGGCTGTAGAGAGGGTATAGGATCCCTAAAAGTCCAAAAAGGAGTGCAATTCACCATTATCTGGTGAGTGCGGTTTATGTTGGTTACAGCACTGGTGGATGGTGGAAGCACATATTAAAAGAAGGACTTTTATTATTATTTTTTCGGTTTGAAGCACTAAGAATTTTGGGAATAAGGACTTTATGGTTTTGGACACTTTTATTTTTATAATGTCCTGGGGCATATCCGATTGCCTCCTTGGCAATCAGGAAGGATTTTTTTCCTCTACTGGAGCTAATTGTATCATGCTTTGTTGGGTTTTTGCCATCCTCTGGATCAACTGTGAGTATAGGATTGTGCATATGGAGGTTTGCAACATATATGTGTACTCTTTTGGTTTTTTGTTTCTTTCTTTCATTTTATTGGTTGAACTACATGGGCTTGTATCTTTTTTTCAAGCAAACTATGTAGTGATGTATATGTGTCTCTACAGAGGATATTTCCCCTCTCTAAGCATGAAATACTGTATCTAAAACCTCAAATTTTTTGTTGGGACAGAGTGGTGAGTGGGGTTACAACCTTTGCCGCTGGAACCCTAGGTTTATAATATTGATATGGGAATTAGAGGTGGTATTTGGATAGTTTTTCGATTCTTGGCTAGCAGCTTTCCCATGCCAATTGCTGCAGCTAGCTGCTGACAGGTTTTTCACCCATCCTGTCAAAATACTGTTTATTTTCATCTGCTGTCCTTTTTTTCCAGTATACTATATTGTCCTTCTTTATGCCCTGATGAAAGGGGCATTTTTGGGGTACCCAAAACAGGTTGGGTCCACCCCTTATCTTGTCAGCTTGGAATAAATATATACATGGACAATTGATTCCTGGGGTAGCATTTTAATTTAAGAATCATTCAGGTCTTTATTGCCATCTGTGTGTCTGCTTGGGCGGTTCACGTTCTCTATTTGTCCTGGTTTCCACTGTGACTAGAATTGAAAGCATTAGATAATCCAAAATGTTGCTGTTAAAGCAGAACAGGAATAGAGGCAAAATGTTCCAATGAGATTGAGTGAAGACTGAGATTGAGCTCTGCAGTCAATTTTGAAGCAGTTATTTTCTTATTCCAGGTCACAATCAGGCGCAGTGTCCTTTTGTCTCTTTCAGTCAGTTGACCATGTATGTTTATCAGACAAAGTTTTCCCAAAAACTGTTTATACCATCATAACTTTTGACACTGTACCTCGCAACACAACAAATAAATTGGCAACTTCAGTCACAGAGGCACCAGCTAAGGGGGGCACCAACAATTTGTCCTCTTTGAAACTCAGTAAGCTCTGACATGACTCTGTATTACTAGCAGCACATGCAGTGAATGTCAAAAGTGAGTCTTCCCACTTGTTCCGCTGTTCCCATTTTTTTTTTCCTTTTGTTAATTTTTTTTTTTTTTTTGCAGCATCAGGTTCTGTTACTGCATCATTACTGTTCCCCCTTCTGTGTTGCAGGTGTTCCTCCTCCTACGTCAGCAGTGGTTTCCTTTCTTTTGGGGGGGGGGGGGTTAATTTTGTTTTAAATTTCATTTTACTTGTTTGCCGCAGCAGCAGCACTAAAAATATTTATGGCATAATTACTGCTCCCCCTTCTGCATTGCAGGTGTTCCTCCTTCTGTGACAGCAGTGGTTCCTTTTTTTTTTTTTTTTTTTTCTGAATCTTTTTATTTTTTTTTCAGCAGTTTATTTTAATTATTTTTTTGCTGCAGCAGTAAATATATATTTGGGCATAATTGTATTGAATATATAATTATATGAACATAGTGTCAGTCACATGCTGCTGGAGGATGCGCAGCAATTTCAATGCTCCAATGTTGGTTCCCGGGTTGGGAGTGACGTG